ACTCTCAACACTGGCTGCTTGTCTTCTACCAGATCGAGTATTTGTATACAACCCAACCGCCTCACCGTGGTTTCCAGTTAAAGTATCACCGAGATTCGGCGAGTTTAAACCCTGACAGCTCCAAGTATGCCGAGAAAACACTGTGTCGCATCTTGTTCGGCCAAGCTTAGACGGTCTGAACCAACATCAGCCTGACTAGTGGGATGAAAATCATCGTCTGTAAATTTGTTGTTGGCTCAAAGAGTTTGCCTGCTGTGCATTAAAATAATGAAATTATTTCAGGACTCGTCCACGGAAAACGATTAAAACGTAGTTATAAAATTCAGTGTTCATAATGATGTCAATAAGAGTATTTGATTAAAAACCATCTTCCTCCCCTCACTCCCCGTCTTCAAATCCCCTATTGCCTGCACGCGTCTGCTCCATTAACAAAATGTGTGCATGGTTTCAAGGTAAAAGTGTTGTATTAGCTATCAGTAACCGCACAACTGGTGTCAACAAAAAGATTTTCGCCACTGCTATGCATTATTTATAATCTTGGGTTGGAACGTAAGCCAGCACTACAAATAATTTGTGCAGAACTTCATCAGTCTCAAATTCCACAAAAGAAGAAAAACGCGTGCTTGCGCAACTTTCAGTTTCTTCATAAAATAAAATGAAAGAGGGCAGGAGGAAAAGAAGGGACAGGGGAGGAGGTAGGGAGAGGGTGGTCGTGTCTTCGGAAAAAACGAGTTCAGGAAATAAATCCGGTGGAATGTTTGGCTCTTGAAGTAGGAGAATTAGACAACTACGAAAGAGCTAAGAGAGCGGGAATTTGAAATTTTATGATGCTAGTAGCAATGGAGAAATTTCGAACGCTCAGAAGAATTTTCAATGTGAAATTCTGAATTGCTTGTGGCAAAAATTAAAGGCCATAAAACAGACAGCGAAGCAAGAAAAAGGACAATCGGTGAAAACACGTTTTTGCTTCCAGCGAACGCTCACAATGCTTCTAAAAGACAATCGCAAGCAAATTAAAAAAAGAAATGACTTAAAGCCAGAGGATCATCACGCGCTAATTCCCGAAAACACATAATTCCCCGAAAGACTCAATGAAATCTGTGAGTTGTCAGTGAACAACACGATTTCCGAGAATACAGCTTAATCGCATTTTCACGTTGAATTGAAGTACCGCGCTGGTAGTTACAGTATGCTGGCCAAACATTTCCAACAAATGCTGCGCTTGTCTCGCGTACCACATCTCACTACCAAAAATAGGCGGAGTAGTGTTAGATAAATGCTCGGAGTAGCGTCTTCAGCAACGAGTGAGAAGTGGCTAAAATCGCTACAGCTTTCGAATAAAAATTTCTCGATGCGTCTATGTTTCACCGAAACAGTTTTTTGGGACAGGAGGGAACACTGTCCCAAAAAGG